CGTCCAAGAAAAAAGCGCTGGCAATGACACGAAACAAAAACAAAGTTTTTGTAGGACGGACCCCACACAGAAACGTCCTCACAGGCGGGCTGAAGAATCGTTTCTGGATTTATTCATAGCGAACTCCCCTCCCCCCCCGGCACCGAATACATGAGCCCTACAACACGAAAACATCCAAACTTCTGTTTTCCTCGCAGGCTCAGTGCTTGACGTTGCAGTGCAGCATAGATGCACGACATCTTTTAGAAATAACTAGAGCAGGGTCTGGAGGCATATTACAGTACAGCTGTTTTACTCCTTAACCGGGCATAACGAGCATTACCCGAAACCTTAAGTATCTTGTGTTGAGATGTACACACTATGAAAGATGGATGTGAAGTAGTAGTACTAGTAGCGGTAGTAGTCGTAGTAGTAGTAGTAGTAGTAGTAGTAGTAGTAGTAGTCGTAGTAGTAGTAGTAGTAGTAGTAGTAGTAGTAGTAGTAGTAGTAGTAGTAGTAGTAGTATAGTAGTAGTAGTCGTAGTAGTAGTAGTAGTAGTAGTAGTAGTAGTAGTAGTAGTAGTAGTAGTAGTAGTAGTAGTAGTAGTAGTAGTAGTAGTAGTAGTAGTAGTAGTAGTAGTAGTAGTGTAGTAGTAGTAGTAGTAGCAGCAGCAGCAGCAGTCGTAGTAAGCGGTAGTAGTACACAAGATGCTTTTCATCAAGGTGACTCAGACTCAACCCAGACCAAACTTTTGAACACGTTGACATTTCTGTTTAACCAAAACCCGGTATATCAACTCACCCTGATAATATCATCCTAGACATGCCGCAGTATTTGGAAACAATTAGTGAGCCAATCAGCTGTGGTGCGTCACTGTCATGGCACCTGACGCGGTTGCCAGTATAACCTTATAGAGCTTGACCCCTAAACTTCAAAAATGCTTTCGGATTTAGGGGTGTACTATAGGGGCCTTAATAATTACCTATACTATTGTGGGTTCCTTCTTGTAATTATACTATGATATACCCCCAAACCCTATTCTCATTAATAAGGTCGCTCTATTAAGGTTATAGGGTGCGCGGTTTTGGGCTCGGGCGTCAGACGACGGGATGTTCTGCACACCGGTTTAGGTCCTACCGGGCCTTCACTGTCTGCTCATAGGACTTTCTACTTGGAGGATCATCGGACTTAGAAATTGGGGTCCCTTTAAGGAATCGATAGGGGTACTATAAGGGTTTAGGCGGGTACTTAACGGATCATGGGAGTTCGTAATTGGGGTAATTCGCAAGGTAACTACAGTTAGAGTTACTTATAAACCCAATTAAGGTACTTATAACCCTACTTACTAAGTCCCATGATCCTCCCAGTAGGGTCTGATCAAAGTTTCCAATTTGTTTGTAATCTTTACTGTGCTTGGAGGCTGAGACTCCTAGCCCCAAAAGATCAACCTTTTCAACTAAGGTAGGCTCATATCAACCCCAAGAGGTTAAAGGTTACCTAGTCGGATAGCAAGCATAAGAGTTTGAACTATACAGGCTAGGGGTTTTTACGAAGTTTGCCAAAAGGGTTTGGGATTGTTGTCCAAAAGTGAAGGCTCCGAGGCTCAAAGACTGTACTCTGGGGGCTCCCTTCAAGTAAGGGCTCTTACAATCAAGATTCGATAGGATGCTTTAAAGTTTTGTGACGATTTTGAGGTGGTTTAGAGGCGAGGCAAGAACAAGTAAAACCCTAAACCCTAAACCCTATCGTTGGGAATGTAACGGTGCTTATACAGAGGCTCAGTGTGGGTTGGGTGGCATTTCGAGCCTGAGGGATCTGTTGGGGTTTCTAGTAGGCCTCGGATCGGTTTAGGGTTTACTTGGAGGATCGTGGGACTTAGTAAGTAGGGTTATAAGTCCCTTAATTGGGGTTATAATACATAAGTGATTCTAACTGTAGTTACCTTACTTATAACCCCACTCACTAAGTCCCATAAGCCTTTAAGTAGGGTTTAGGGTTTCGGGCTCAGTATGTTCTTGGGGTTTGAGTTGCTTGCAGTTTCACTACAGAAAAGCAGACAACCATGATTTTCGAAGCCGTCACCCACGTCTGTCTAGAGTGCATTCAGCTCGCCATGTGGAGCTGCGCTGCAGCCAGACGCATTTTCCTGGGCTGCCCTCTCTAAACCCTAAACCTTAAAGCCAAACCCGAAACAATCCCTGAACCCTTTCGCCCCCAATCCTGACTTCCTAAACCCCTTAACCCAAACCCCCTAAACATTGTTTGCAAACTCAGTCGTAAGAATGGCCGTTTGCACCCAAATGCCTCAAAATACAAATCCTGGACTGATAAAGGGTTCGGAATATTCCTTAATGCCCTAACAGTGTTCCTTAAGGCTCCTTGCTATACTACTATTTGCTTAAGAACCCCCCAAAAAATATAAAATCATAATCCCTATATTCCCCCTATAAGGAATAGATTTTTCTCTTTTGGGGGTTCTTAAGCAAGTAGTAGTATAACTGTCATGCAGTTTACCACCAAACCCTATGCCAACTATCCAGGCCCCTCAAAGCGTAAGAAGCGTTCAGGAAATCCGTGCTGTATCAAAAAAATGGGGGGGCCTTATTAGCTGGAATAGGGTTTTGGGGAGATGCTAAGTAGAGATGCAACAAGGGTCACAAGTAGGCATTCAAGGTAGACTCGGGGTCAGTGATAGCTGTACATTTCTATTCCCATGCTCGCGTCTGACAGTACAAGGGTATGACAATGGTGGCTCTCTAGCTTTTTTTGGCATGACGCTGCTTAAGTGACAAAAGGGATGTGTGTCATGATCTCGCTGCACACCTTGACACGAGGCTGATTCTGATCGAGCGGGCCGGCTTGAATTTCACTACCAAATAGTCTAAGGATGCAATGACTGGGTACCTGATGACCTGATGAGGAACTTAGTGTACCTAGATTACCCAGGATGGAAATCATGCTTCAATCCCTACCAATTGTCACTATCATGACTGTTATCATATTCGTGTCACTGGTTTTGCTTGTTATTATACATACCATTTCTAGATAATAAATATTGTTATGATTCAGGTTACAATTATGGTACGATTGACATGATGCGTATCATCTTTGTTCTTGATACTGATGTTGATATTGATGTTGATATTTATACTGACATTAATATAGTTAATGCTATTGCCATTTTTGAAATTGGTATTGTGACTACGATTGCGGATCCTATTGTTATTGCTATTTTTTGTTTTCGTTATGACCTGATCATTGTTATTGTTGTTTTTTTATTGGCTGCTTGCGAGTATTGTAATTATTCCTGTTATTCTTTCTGTATTACCTTAGTCTGATGATTATTCTTGCTATTGACCGTAGGTGGGCTTGTAGCATTGGTCGTCGTCCTCGTCGTCGCAGTCGAAGTCGAAGCCGTAGTCGTGGGCATAGTCGCAGTAGTGGTAGGAGTAGGAGTAGTAGTAGTCGTCGTCGTAGTAGTAGTAGTAGAAGTAGCAGTAGTAGTACTAGTAGCAGTAATAGTAGTAGCAGTAGTAGGAGTAGGAGTAGGAGTAGTAGTAGTAGTAGTAGTAGTAGTAGTAGTAGTAGTAGTAGTAGTAGTAGTAGTAGTCGTGGTAGTAGTAGTCGTGGTAGTAGTAGTAGTAGTAGAAGTAGTAGTAGTAGTAGTAGTAGTAGTAGTAGTAGTAGCAGTAGTACTAGTAGTAGTAGTAGTAGTAGTAGTAGTAGTAGTAGTAGTAGTAGTAGTAGGGTTTCCCCCCCCGGTGCGACGCCCAAACCTCTTATTTTTGGGACTTGCTGTGGTCGGAAATGCTGTGTTTTACAGCACTTTTTTTCCGCAGTTATCGAAAGTGGCAACTGTTCCTGGTTTCGTGTGTATTTTATCATATTTTCTAACATTGTTCATCAATCTCGCACCCGAAAATGCTGGTATTTACAGCACTTGTCTTTGCGAATTTCATGATTTGTTTACTGTTTTTGGGTGTCTCGATTTTCGTGCCCAAAACCTAGCGATCAGAATCAAGGTTTTTTGGGCCTCATTTTGATCATGATTTTCATTCAAATCGTTGGTTTGGAGAGCATCCATGTCCAAAACCTAATGACGTCCATGGTCTAGTGCATTTTGGTTTGGAGAGCATCCATGTCCAAAACCTAATGACGTCCATGGTCTAGCGCATTTCAGTTTGGAGAGCATCCATGTCCAAAACCTAATGACGTCCATGGTCTAGCGCATTTGGGTTTGGAGAGCATCCATGTCCAAAACCTAATGGCGTCCATGTTCTAGCGCATTTTGGTTTGGAGAGCATCCATGTCCAAAACCTAATGACGTCCATGGTCTGGCGCATTTTGGTTTGGAGAGCATCCATGTCCAAAACCTAATGACGTCCATGGTCTAGCGCATTTTGGCTTGGAGAGCATCCATGTCCAAAACCTAATGACGTCCATGGTCTAGCGCATTTTGGTTTGGAGAGCATCCATGTCCAAAACCTAATGACGTCCATGGTCTAGCGCATGTTGTACATCCACGAACTCAGCGACCGGCGTCGCACCAGGGGGGGAAGGCCTAGTAGTAGTAGTAGTAGTAGTAGTAGTAGTAGTAGTAGTAGTAGTAGTAGTAGTAGTAGTAGTAGTAGTAGTAACAGTAGTAGTAGTAGTAGTAGTAGTAGTAGTAGTAGTAGTAGTAGTAGTAGTAGTAGTAGTAGTAGTAGTAGTAGCAGAGTAGCAGTAGTAGCAGTAGACGTAGTAGTAGTAGTTGTTGTTGTTGTTGCTGTTGTTGTTGTAAGTAGTTTTCTTTAGAAGCGCCATGTTTATTGTCATGATTATTATGCATTTGTCAATAAAAGATGCGTGCTGTAATTTACTATGTAACTATGCTCCCTCTTCATATTACCGTTATTTCGGTTCTGAATACTTCATGTTTCTACGCCTGTCTAAATTGTGATCAGCACTGCGAATTATGACTTGTGCCGTTTGTATTCTATCTTCTCTTTGTATTCTATCTTGGGCCAGGCTTGACATGGCTCCTACACCTTATATAAACGCCCCATGACGCCAACCCGTCCAAGGTTCGACAACTTCATGTCTGGCTTCTGCAAGATGCTGCCCGCCGGGGCATAGAATCCAATACCGACTGCACCAATGAGCGCCACAATGCCAACCGGAACTGCCATGCAAAAGGCACCTAAGCCGGACTCACAGAACAGGGAATGTACATGCTGCACTTGGATCAACAACTGTTCAGCCGACACACAGATGGCTTTGCCATGCATCGCATGAGCCGATTGTCGAAACAACTAGCTGTTGTCAAATCTCTCTCCTTCAGCCACCGGGTCGAACAAGGCTAAAACTTGTTAGTCAACGAGGAAGGTTGGAGCGCACATACGGTTACGGCTGGAGCAATGTAGAGGGCATAGGCTTTTTTTTGTGGTGTTTTGCACCGTGGTTCTGATTAATCACGAAACCTACCTTCAGGACTAGCATTGCTACTATTCAGGCGTCTATACCACATGCCTTCAAGCATAGTGGGATGCCTGCTAAGCAAGCCTTCAAACCCTGAACCCTACTTACAGGATCATGGGACTTAGTAACTGGGGTTAAAAGTAAGGTCATTACACTTATACATACTTATAACCCCAATTAATGTACTTATACACCTACTTACTAAGTCCCATGATCCTCCAAGTAGACCCTAAACCCTGAACCCTTATAGCACCCCTTATAGATCCCTTAAAGGGGCCCCTATAACCCCACTTACTAAGTCCCATGATCCTCCAAGTAAACCCGCGAGTCTCTGGCTGTGGCTTCAAATGCCGGGCTTACTTCACCGCCCAGCCGCCGTAAATGACGAGGCCGCCAAGTGCACCCAAAACCAAGAAGGCCTTGGTTTAGTTGTTTAAGGGTTAGAGTTCCAGTGGTCCAGAGGGTATAACTACAAGGGGTATGTACAAGGATACTGGAAGGCTTAACCGTAAAATTTGCAAGATAGACTATTTGTGAGGGTCGTGGTTACTATATGGCTTGCTAAATTCTCAAAAGGGTGCGACAAGCATAGGTTCACGTATTCGGAACCCTGGAACTTGGAACCGGCTGATGCCCGGTTACCTGCACTGGAAATAATCTTCGGGTCCTTTTTATAAACCAAAAAATGGGACTTTCCGAACATTAGGGTTACCATATATTCGGGTCCTTATAATGAGGATCCTACTATTTAGTGTGCTATATTAGGGTCCCCTAGTTTTGGACATCCCCAAAATGATAACGACGGCTACCCATCACATCGGCAACTAGACTCCTAGGCAAATACTGCAGACTAAGCTTGCATCAAGCGCACTTCCGAAACTCGCTGAAACGAAAGCTGATTGAATCCGAGAGGCCAAGCACATGGCGCGGTCTTTGAAGGCAACACAAGAACCAAAGGTCCCGATAGTCCCGGCGAACAATATTCCGGCCACAAACATGCACACGATGAGAACGAGGATGCAGAGGATGATGGAAAAGAACTCAGCACAAGAGACACGAGTGTCCGCTGCACAAGAAGCACGCAGATCGGCATGCCGGCATAACTGTCTCAGCACTGCATATGCGAGGGCGGGGCGGGGGTCTCTAAACTCGATCTTCACAGCATCACTGGCACAATAAGAACCCTAACAGGGAACCTAATTTCCAGCCCTATGTGCGCATGTGTGCTTTAGCCACTTCGAGCTGCTGCTGTTCGGGCCGACTCCGATTCCTCCATCCAGGAGTCGCTTTGCAGCAGGCTTCCGGCCTCCCCATCGCGACTCACCGCCATGCGCAATCCTGGTCCATACTAGGGCTTTTAGGGTTAGGGGGTAATGGCTAAGAGAGTATATAAGGCTTATAGGGTCCATACTATACTGAGGCTTTTGAGGTTTAGGGGTTTATGGCTCATAGAGTTTATAATGGCTTATAAGGCTGATAAACTTATAGGGTCCATACATTAAGGTCTGGGCTCTTGGTAGGTGGGTCTTGTTTATTGAATTATCAGCACCCTGAAAGCGAATCTAATTGGGGTTATGGTAGGTATACGCCAATAAAAGAACTGCTTACTCAGTCCCCCGACCCTCCAGGTTCACGGTCAGGTTCACAGTAACCCCAGTTGCTTCTTTTGGGTTTCGGGGTCCGATATGGTCCGACAGCCGTAACAACAACAAGACTCTTTCGAGCCTAGAAGAAATTTCAGAAAAGCATTTTAGAAGAGAAGCTTTTAGAGCCTTTTAAAGGTCTGGAATTTCCTAACTCTCGTGAAGTTTTGATGAGGCTCTTTCGGACCTCAGCTCCAGAGACGACGCCGTACCTGAGTCCGGCGGGTCTGTCGCCTTCTCCATGTGCTCCCGCGCCTCATCAGCTGTGCCTCAGCCACCCTAACCGTCCGGAACCACACTGGGCTTAAGGTTTAGGGTTTAGGATGGTAACCACACAAGCGTAATGTTACAACTATAATAGGGTTTCGGGCTACTTTATCGTATACTGGTATGACAAGCCAAGGAACCCTAACCTCATGTTGGTACTATCCGGCGTGTATACGGGACCTTAAGAATCAGAAAAGGGTTTTGGGGTATATTATACTATAACTTTAATTATGAGCTCACCCAAAAGAATACTGGTATTAAGACCGCTATATTATGTTGCCTCCAGTCCATTCCGGCAAGTTTTAGAGCGAAGCCTAAACTTGGCCACCGAGGAGCTCAGCATGTCTGCAAGTGACACACCGCCCAATGTCTTCCTCTCTTCTTCAAGAGCCGGGCCCACAGAAAGTTTAGAGTTTAGGGTTTAGGGTTTGGGGTTTAGGGTTTTGAGCAAAGATGTAAGGCCAAAAACTAAAGTTCTCCCGTTGATTATCTAAGCTTCAAATAATCTTGGCAGTGCTCTGGCAAGTCCAGAGTTTGGCCCGCGAGATCACCGCCGTTAAAACCCGGCACCTTCATGAAATACCTGGGTTGTGGCCACTAAGGGCTCCATAAGGGTTTAGGGTTTAGGGCTATCAGTTCTCTCTTTTTCAGTGTTTTTTGTAGCTGTACGGCGTCCTACTTGTCGGGGTATCATCGCAAACTAAAGGTTAACCTTTTTGGTCATATAGGGATTATATATTATATAGGGACTATACTACACAAAAAAGGTTAAAGGTTACCTACTCGACTACTCGGGTGTTCTATATGGCCACCTAGATACTTCACGAAGAGCGCCAGCTGACGCTTCTCAGCATCTGACTCGTGCTTGAGCACGCACTTCTCTCTGGACTCCAGCTTGGCCTGGTATCTACTTGGAGGGGCAGGGGACTTAGTAAGTCGTTTATAAGTAGGGTTATAATTGGGGTAACTCCATTTCGGGTACTTTTACTAGGTCCCCTGCCCCTCCAAGTAAGGACTTACCTAGGGTTCCTATGAGGGTGACTCCAAGGGAACAACAAACGTTAATCGGGCCATTGATGCTTCAGAACTCTCAAACTCTCCAAGTATGGCAGCGCAGACCCGACGCAGTAAAAGACCACCGTGTATAACACGCGTGTTGGGGAATATGTATGCATATACAGTGTAATTTAATGTAGGATAGACTGATAGAAAAATGTAATATAATATATGTACATATATATATACATAGATATTATACATATACACCTACTATATATATATATATATGTATATTCGATCAAATATTCGGTGCTTAGCCCCAAAGGCAGCCAAGGCGCCGTCTCAATAATGATTGTGGGGCGCTTCAGCAGGAAGTCTACGAGCTCAGAATGCCTTGGAACATCTAGGAACAACGCGCATGGGGTCAGCATTACAGAGTGTGCCTGAACCCTAAAGAACCTACCTTTTAGGGCTCCTTATTGCTTTATATAAGTCCAAAAGGTAGGTTACTTGGGGCCCAGGTAGGGTTTAGGTTACAGGGTTTAGAGTGGCTTGTGCAAACTCCGAGACTAGAGGAAGCGGCTTTGCAGGCACGGACCCTAAATCCTAAACCCTACTGGACCCTGCTGTAAACCTTTACCTCACTGGCCCAAAACCCACGGGAACAAAAAAGTTGAAACTTTCAGAATCGACTACCTTATAAGAACCCCAAAAGTTGAAAAGTTAAGTTTACAGCCAAAAAGTAACTGGCTTTGCTCTTTGCAGCTGGGCTTACAGCTTTGCTGGCACGGAGAACTGAGCGGAATCCCTCAGCTCTGCGACGGACCTCTTCGCCGCAGCATCGTACTGCGCAGTCGTTAAGCGGTCCTTCGGCGATGCTTCCAAGGATATATAGGGTCCATAATGCTCATAGAAAAAGGTTTTACGGCGTGCATATAAATATATATACACATACACACACATGTATATAAACACGTGTTATTTACACACACACATATATATATATATGTATATATGTATGTATATGTATATGTATATGTATATGTATGTTAACTTAATTGTTTATTTGTCTGGTTTATGTTCTTTATGTATGTACGTATGTATGTGTGTGTGTATATATATGTATATATGTATACATACACACATTTTTGTGTGACTAACTGTTTGTGTAAATATACCCATATGTCTATATGCATATGTATGTTGTAGTCTAATTTAATCAGGAAACTCACTCAGGTCTCCTAACGGGGCTACTTCGAACTTTTGAGTTTCATCCAACCTTGGCAGCACTCTAAGGGTTTAGGGTTTAGCTTTTATACTAAGGGTGCCATGATAATGTTTGGGTCTAAGGGTCGTTGTGCCCAACTAGTATACACTTTGGCCTTGAAAGAATCCCTATATATATATTTGAAACGTCACTCGTGGAGCCGACTAGCAAAAGATGTGCGGACAGGATTTTGAAGGATACCCGTCCGCAGTGGCATGGTTTGCTTACAGATTGAGGCCCGGCGGGCTATAGTGTATCAGGTCTGCGGTTTCGTTGTTTTTTGTGTCATGCAGGCCCGCTGCCTGAATGTATGTTTTTTTTCGCTGAAGCAAGTTATTGTATGATAAATTGCAGACTCATTTATAAAGAATTCGCGAGCTGAGACCTAATAAGTCTCAATGTTTGGGACTACGATCACACTATTGCGGAGGATCGGAAATGTTGATTCAAGCCGCAGCAGCTGACACTGGACTGTTGTCGCGACATCAGCATTTTTTTGCAGCACAGTCCACAAGAAGCTCCATCTGGTGAAACAGGCGACGTGGTGCGGTGCCGTTCAAGCCGGGAAGTATGGGTCCGTGATCGCCGTGACATTTCTAAATTAATATACAATTGAAACGAACCATCTGCACATAGCATTTAGCAGGGCATGAACTTAGTTTTCACAAGCGTCTCCTGGGACCCACATTCAAAAGCATGCTTGGTGGAAATGATACCGCACGGTACCACTACATGACATGAGTCTAACATACAGCCGCCGAATCGTTGACACGAAATTCCAAAAGTCTGCGAATTACATGTCATAGTTTGCTTTCACCTGATATCATGCACAGCTCACAACCAACAGCATTTCACAACTCCAGTGCCAATCAAGTCAACAACTCAACGATGCAATCATGCGGCATGGCAGGGCATGCAATCAAGCACTGCAGCAGTGTCATGTTGCAGGCTTATGCAGTGCATGGACGGTACAAGTGCACGTGACGACAAATGCATTGACGAATCAATTATTCAGTACTTTACTCGACGAACTCAGCGGAGCAAGTGCTGGCACATCTTGGGCGCAGGTCCAGCAAGAAACCACAGATCATCTGCGGCCAGCTCAACCTTGCTCATGAGCACACTCATCTCGGCTTGCGAGTCTGCTTCTGCAAGCTTGCCGGCAAAAGCAACACCACCCAGCAGCACCTGATTCGATGCAAACGATGATGCCTTCCGCCCGGCACCTTTACCATCGGCTGTTTCGCCCGGAAAATTCGACCGAGTGCACAACACCTCACCGGCTGCATCTTTGATTGCCTTACCCTGCTTACGGGCCAAAGCCGCCAATGCCTTGCAAGAACACGGCCGCACACTCACGTTTAGCACTCAACTACTGTACCATCGATCAACAAAGTGCATGCCTTCATCCGAAGCTTTGCCGAGTGCTCCGTGATAGTGACCGATCGATTACATCCGTGCCTTAGCCATGCTTTGACACATGCGAATCTCAAAATTCGAAGCTTAACAACAACTCAGCTCTGCACGCATCTGGAAACTGTAGCGTCACTTCGTGGGATTGGGCAGCAAACAAAGCTTTATCCTCGGCATAGCCGGTCTTCATCATCCAAATGGCATTTGGGGCAGCACTGGTGGTCTTGCTGAAATTGTCGCCGTGCATGTAGTAGCTGACTGGCCCATCGTCAAACACTGCTTCAGCCACCTATGGGAAGTGCCAATGCATGATTGCATCCTTCATGACATGGAGTCCATGATGAAGCAAAGTCACACACCGGCAAACACTGGCAAACACATGACATGGGCATCGGCATCGTCATGCATGCATCATGGGAAGCGGTTATGATACTACAACAAATGCATGTGATCCTGCACCCGCAACCTTCACACACTTGGCCGTCTGCTCCGCTGTGACATGCCCGTGCATGTACAAGATGTGCTTATCCTCGTCCTCTTCACTCAAAGTGTTCGCGGCATCAATGACATTGATCATCAGCTGCGATTTCAAGTCCACTTGAAGCAAACCAAGAAGGATTGAACTGGACCCTTGCCTCACGATTGCACGATATCACGATGAGCCATTCACTGCTAATCATTTATTACTCTACGAAGCAATCAAATGAAAGCCACAAAAGGTGACACACGGCGACGGGCCACGCCGACTTCTGCAGCATGTGTGTTTGCACCTGCATCCCGACAGCCAACACATCAAGCACATTCAAGGACTTGGCACCGGCAAGGTTGTGCATGTTGTAGATGCTAGCCAATGTCGGAGTCTTATTCAATAGCTCAACTTGCTTGGCCGATTCCGAAGCCTGCGGCTTTGCTGCTGCTGATGCTGAGGCTGATGCTGTCGCCGCCTCTTTTTTCACGGCTTCTGTGGCTTCTGCTTCATTGGGACTGGTCGCAGTCGGAGTTGTGATCGTGTTCAGGAAGGTGTCTGCCAACGATTTCGTGGAAAAGAGGATGGTTGAGCTTGGCAAGAAGTCCGCCCACGATTTTGGGTCGGCCGGAGGCTGAATCTGCACTTCTGGGGTCTTGGAGTCTTTCGCCGGCTTTGTTGTTTTAGCACGTTTGGGATCGGGCCCCTGCTGATCGACATTCTCCGCCTCTGCCGCCGCCGCTTTCGCAGCCTGAGCTTGGGCTCGCACCGCGACCCCGAGAACTCTCGACCAAGTCGAGCACCACAAATCAGGGGCGGACTCCGAGGATGCCGCCTTGGAATCCTGGGAACCTTGTGACTTCTGGGACTTCTGAGCGAAATGGCAGCGGCTTTCGATTTCCATGACATATGACTTGCCATCTTTGCTCAGCAAGTAGTCAAGAAGGGAAGCAAAGGCTGGCAAGGACGGCACATCCGACACAGTGACGAACTTCTGGGGCTCCAAGGGCTTCTCAATTACCTGTCTCAAACCCAATAGCATGTAAAGTGCTCGGCAAACAATCATGCCCTCGATCGCTTGTTCGTTGAAGACCAACTCGCCCTGCTCGTTCTCAATCAAAGCAAGCGGCTTCGCATGCTTGCCCACGATCTCTGCGATTGTCTGCACCTTCTCGCCAGACCCATCAGACCCGTCGGCCTGTTTTTGCAAACCCGACGCATGAATGGCAACAGCACCAAGTAGTGCCAGCCCAACCCTCAGCACAGAAGAAGGCACTGACTCCTCGTCAACACGCAAGCACTCGGTGACACCCCAAACTAAGTCTTGGATGCTGTGCTCCGACTCGTAATGGAAACAACAAGCTTCGGCTTCGGCATCTGCATCGGCATTGCAAGTGCAGGTCACCTCTCTCAAGACTCCACGAAAGCCACGGAAAGCGGGATGGGACTCAATTGACCCTGTGTTCTTGCTAAGAAAGACACCGGCATCGTCGACAGTCGCTTTGCACGAAAACAAGACAAACCGGACCCATGCTTTGACGTCACTGACATCTTCATCGCTGCCTCCCCCTGCCCCTGCACTCTGGTTCTCCAATGCAGCCTTCTCTTCGGAAACACGAGCAAACAAGTGACTCACCATGTTATCGGCGGCTGCATCGGTAGATGCAGCGGATGCGGTCAAGGATTCACCGGCAGACTTCTTGATCATTGCTCTCATCAAGCTCTGCAAGTACGGTCTGACCTGTGGTCAGAGTCAGTAGGCCCCACACTCATAAGAAACATGAATGATTGATTGAACAATAGTCGAATGAGAGTCACTAAATAATTCACACATTTCCCTGCACAAATCAACACGAATCAACATGGTCCAAGCTCAAAGCTCAACAGTACTCTGCATGCTCAAACGAGTCAAGGGCAAGGGTCAACCGGCTCAACCGGAACATGAAACATGCATCTGCATCTGTATCTACACTGCCAGATTATCTTTTCGCTGCTCAGACTCAACATTGGTCAAGGCATACAAATCTAGACAGCTCATCCAGTGATCAGGCAGTCACTCAGCATGCTCAAAGAGTCATGAACCAACCGGAACATGCATGGTCATGCTAAGTCATGCTTCGGTACCTTGGACCAGTCCTTAAAGATCTTGTTGTTCAGGCTGAGCTTGCCCGTCAATGCGAACTCGAGGCCATAGCTTACCAGCATCCGTGTCATCTGGCCGGCGGGGCTGTTCCATTGATGAAGTAGTGGCTTCCCGTAGTTCGCCGCGACCAATGCTCCAAGAAGATCGTCTAGCCATCGCCGTGGACGGGAGCCTTCCCCAAATTCGACGGGTCCTTGAAGGGCTGAGCTGGGTTCCAGCATTTCATCGTCGCCTTGTGCTTTCCTCTTGCCTGCCTTTGCCTTCGCTTTTGATTTCGCCTTGCCCTTGGCAGTTTGCTTCTTCTTGTCCTCCTCGTCCTCGATCGCAGCTGCCTTCACTTTGTTGGATTTTGTGCCTGGAGCCCGCTTTTGGCCCAGCTTGGAAACAAAGGGAGCACCAGCAATCGCTGTGAAAAGCTTCACATCCACCTCTTGCATCTCCTTGGAATCGGGGCCTTTCGTCAGAAGCCACGGATACACTCGGGCACCTTGCACGTCCGTCGGTGGCAACAAAGGGACCTGGGTTTCTATCGTGCAAAACTCAAGTCAAGGCCGCAAGGCCCAAGTGAGTTGAAACCGCTCGAGCAAACCTATCTCAGCTTCTGACAACAAACTTGCACAATTCCAAGAGCAACAAGCCCTGATGCTCAGCAGGCTGTCCAGGAAGGTTGTGTTCGATCATGGTGCCGAGACTGTTCATGCAAAGCAGGGCTCGATCGTGCTTGTTGGCCATCTCCGGTGATAAGAAATCCGTCTCGGTAGCGAACACATGTTCCCATTCCTCCAGTACCTTCATGTAAAGCAGCTTGCTTCTCAAAGCCTTTGCGGTTTTGAAGCTGTTCCCGGTGTATCGTTCCTGCTGCTGACAGGCTGACAGGTGCCTTTTCAGATTCCACAACTCCACAACTGCAAGCAACCATTAAAAAGAACATCAGTACTACTGACTGCACTAACACGGCACTGCTACGACTGCTACGTGGCCATGCAACCATGCGACATGTCGACGTCACACCACTACACTGCACTGCATCCAATGCATGTCAACTACCGAAACTCCAGCAGCAAGAGCAGCAAGAGCAAGAGGGAACTCAATAATGACTGCACTGACACGGCACTGATACGACTACGACTCGGACTGCTACGTCTCCGTCTACGTGGCCATGCAATCATGCGACATGTCGACGTCACACCACTACACTGCACTGCACTGCATCCAATGCATGTCATCATTGTCATCATCATGTCAACTACCGAAACTCCAGCAAGAGCAGCAAGAGCAAGAGGAAACTCACTGACTGCACTGACACGGCACTGCTACGACTCTACGACTGCAACGTGGCCATGCAATCCATGCAACCATGCGACATGTCGACGTCACACCACTGCCACTACACTGCACTGCATCCCATGCATGTCAACTACCGAAACTCCAGCAAATTAGTTCAACACTGTACAACACTGCACTGCTATGTGGCCATGCGACCATGCGACACACATCCAGGGCAATGTTTTTTTTACACACGTCACTTCAGTCACTACTTTACATCCAGGTCCAATGATTGGACTTGGATGTAAAGTAGTGACTGAAGTGACCATGCATGTTGTGTCCTTGAACTCACTGTTCTCGATCCATTCGGTGAGGTCCTTGCGGTCCGAGGACCTTGTAGAAATGCCGTGTCTCTCCTTGTAGGACCTCCAAGCATCGTCCAGCTCGGAGACTCCGACGAGCTTTTCGTGAAAGTTTATCCCAGATCCCCCATGGAACGAGTTATTTATATCCTTCAGAAACCTGGGATGACTGACATGTCAGGAAGCGATCAGCAGCAACATGTGCACACGAAAACGAAACCCTGGAGCGGCCAGGGTTTCGTTTTCGTGTGCACATGTTGCTGCTGATCGCTTCCTGAAGCCTGAAACAGAAACCCGTGTTATTATAATTACACATCACAACCACACAATCACAAAAAACGTCACAAACACGATCCAAGCAACTGCAGAACATCATTTGGCGTCTTTTTCGAGAAGATACGGCAATTGCGAAGGCCTGCCTTTTGTGTCGCTATCACCTGGGGATTGCTGCTGTGCTTCGGATCGGCAGCCACCGTGTAGAATGCCTCGGACCTGCCAGCTAGATTTCTTGTAACGTGTAGGGTTCCCAAGACTAAGAACTTTCACTCACTCACCTGAACCCGACTCATGACTCAAGACTCCACACTCGGCTCAACACTAGTTTTCGTTTCAGTGCTCATGGCAAGGCAATGGCAGCCCATGTGGCAAGTGGCTTCATGCGGCTTCACGCAACTCATGCGAGACATATGACACATATGCTGATCACTCCAACAACATGCCCAAGTCCAATGTCAAGTCGCAGTGTTCCAAAACTCGGCTCAACACAAGCGACTAGTTTTCGTTTCAGTGCTCATGGCAAGGCAATGGCAGCCCATGTGGCAAGTGGCTTCATGACTTCATGCAAATCATGGGACACATATGACACAGCACTGTTCACTCCAACAACATGCCCAAGTCCAATGTCAAGTCGCAGTGTTCCAAAAGTTATGGCAAGGTATGGTGATCCATCCGCCAGCGGCCTTGGTACACAGTACACAGTACACAAGTACACAAACATAAGCTCACAATGCAACAAACAATTCGACTCGCCACCGGCAAAAAGAATCCACGACCCGCCCCACATTGCGGACCAACTGCTCCACCAGCCAGGGCTGGGAGCGACACCCCTCCATGATGCCGTGCTGGAGGATGTTGTGGCCGTAGGCTCTGGTAACACTGACCTGTTTCCTGTTGTTCAGAGGATGCCTGGCAATGTTGCGGATTCCTTGCTTGACAGCTTCTGCATCATTGTACCAGGGTACAGTGACGCCGTCGGATACCTGACGTGTCAGGCCGTGTGAGGAATAACAATAAAAACTTTAGTCGTCGTGGCAATCCCAATCCCTGCCTGGTAAATTGTAAACACTTTCTCCTGAAGCTCTCGGCCATCGAGGCCCCCAAACCGCTCCTTCAAAGACTGCTCGCCGAACAATGCATGCTCCGCTGCGAGCTGGGCCATGTGAGCGATGGGTGGTCGGAGTCGTCGTAGAAGGCACAACACCGTTCACAACACTGTCACAACACTGCTACAGCTGAGAACTCTGCGGCAAGGAACCAAACAAGTGCACAACCAGCACACAACAGCACAACACATCATGAATCCTGACATGCACTGCATCATGGACTGTCATGGACTCATGCACATGCACAACAGACTGACATGCGACACGCGAGTCTTGGCAGTCTTGGCTGTGCAAAGGGAACCCACAACCCACACTCCTTTTGGAACCTGCATTTGAAGGTACCGGATCTTGTTTATGTGACAGAAAGTATTTCGACTGTACAGAGCGGCACTCCCTCGCGACAAGCAGCAGCAAACAACCCAAGCACAGCTCGATCTCTTTCCAGAACGAAGCAACATCTTTGTCACAAGGCCCCTGCCTTCCGCCTTGGGCGGGGCGGAGCTGGAGCTCGCTTCTGCCTGTAGAACGGCACCACCTTGGTCATCATCATGTCACACTTGCTTGCTTATCATGCACAATGCACATGCACTGTCACATGCACTGCTTCACGCACCACACATCGACATGCGAGTCTAGGAGAGAGTCTAGGAAGTCTGGGCTGTGCAAAATGAAACCAATCCTGTTAGAGCCTGCATGTGCTTTTCTCAGGTGAAACCTCTCTCAAATTTCTCCAAGTCTTTCACTGGGATCGCTTGGACTGTGCAAAGCGACACTCTGCCTTCAGCTTGTAGCAACAGCCACATCTGAGGCCACTACGAACTAGCATTTTTGCACAAGCTCTGGAGCCTGGCTTCGGGCCGGCCGCCTTCGGCGGTGCCGGTGCGGAGGAGGAGCTCGCTTCTGACTGCAGAACGGCATCTTGGCGAATGCAACAAAGACTGACATCGAAGCTTGGCCCCAAAGGCAAACCATCCTCATCCACTGGCCCACCGGATACCAAGGCGCCAACAGCCGCAGCAGTCGCAGCAGCCGCAGCGGCCGCATCCCGAATGTGCGGGGCCTGGCTTGGCCTAGGTGGCTGCCCGCATCTCTTCCTGTTGCGGCTGTGCAGCGTCGTCGCTGGCTCCGTCTCAGCAAAGTCTGTTCTTTCGGCAAGACCTGAAGAGCTGGCAGTCGAAGTGATCCCGGCAGTCGGGTTGCCTGACAAACCGGCACCGGTACCCGGAACTGGTGGGAAGTGCCCGGCACGAGGGACCCTTCTCAACATATGTCCCACCGGTGTGCCGGAAGCTCGTGGTATATCAGCAGCTTCAGAGTCATCGCTGCTATCACCAAACAGAGCTGCATTAGTCTCCCAATCAAATTCCAAATCGCCATCCTCGGAGTCCAAGTCACCAAAGAAGTCGACATCACTGTCATGGCAGTCATCACTTGCTTGCTCCGACATGAGATCTGCTGGCCGCACAGTGAGAAAGCGGAAAAAAGCACTTCTGCCACTGACTTGAGAAGCCAACTGCAAATGCCAACAATTACAATGTGCAAGCAGCGGAGGCATTTCAGAAGCATGAGCATGACATGACATGTCTAGACAAGCAATGCACAACACAACAGCCCACCGGCCCATTGGTGATTATGTTCACGTCCATGCCCTGCCCTTAAGGCAAAGGCCTCATCATCATCGCATCGGCGGGGTCGGCTGCAAACCTCAGATGCATAGCAATCGAGAAAATGAGAGTAAAGCAACGTTCAGTTCAACCCAATCAACCGCCACATGAAGCGATCTACCGTGAAGCTGCCTGTTCTGTGGTTCTGAATGATACTGACTGATGCATGCACACACACACACAATCGCTGCACAATCACATCTTCATGAAGCAGTGCCACGGCTGACAACAAAGATCAATGTCAAGAGCTTTTTGTTGCACTCTGAATTTCAGTCTCGAAAACAAGCTAAGTCATGGGAATTGCTCCAAACAGCCGCATTGCAAGATTCTGAACAGGACTGCGGTCTGCAGGTGCGTGCACAGATGGAGGCCGGAGGCAAGGGATTTCGGTCCTGACTTCGGTGACTTGGTTGCCTTCGGCAAGCTGAATTGGAGCTGCAACCTGATCTGATTGCAACTCATCGTGTGCGGTAGCTGGGACTGGCATATCTTCCAATGCATCTTGAGCAATGACCTCTTCATCTTCAACCTCTTGCTTTGCATTGGTAAGCTGGGTAGCTGCTTCGTCTGCCAGACGTGGCGGCATCTGTTCTTCACGAACTCTCTCACCGTCATGCGGTAGATGCCCGTGTTGCACGCCATCGACCGACTCAACAGCCCGTTTAGGCTGCTCTGGCACTCGCACATCTTTGCTTGCAGCCACGACCATCGCTTCCTCAGTCTCCATCTGGTTAGTTGCTTCTTCTGCTGGCTGCGACAGCATCCGATTGTCCGTTTGAGGGTCACCACAAACTTTCTCGGCATTCTGTGGCATCTCTTGCACGTCCTTTTGTCCAGGCTTCTCTGCTTGCGAAGTGTCTGTGAAGCTGAGATCAAGTGTTCTCTGAGTCGGTGAAACTGGATCTGGTTTCTTCTTTCTAGTTTTCGGGCTGGCTCGGCTGGGCTGACTTGCACGGCTAGCTTTGCTGGCCTGACTCGTCCGTGAGGTGTCCTTCTGCAAAGCACGTCTCGCACAGGTGCGACTTCGATTTTTGGCTTCTGCAACGGGTTTACTCTTGGCTGCAGTCGGCACAATCCTTTTCTTTCCTGGACTGGCGCCTCCGTGGCCACGACCTCTGCCTCCGCCACGTCTAGCTGCCATGGGTTAGACTCGAATCGAACGAGAGCCAGTCGTGATAGTGGCACCACCACAACTATAAGGACAACGACAACACACAAACATCTATTAAGTATCTATAGAAGTATAAGAAAATGTCTCTTGCTCTGGATATGGTGCACCATAATCGAATCACATTCCAATCACAAGACATGCTCCTGAAACTCTGCTGCACACATACAACACTGCATGTCACGTGTCACTGAGTTGCTGCATAATGCCGTGACTCGCACATGTTCCTGACACTCAAAGACTCAAAGATACATCCTGGCATGGCAGTCAACTACGGCACTTGTTTGCAGTTGAGTGTCCTTCCAACACATTGGTCCAAAAGCAGTCCTGAGCAAATGAATGCAGTGGTTACAAGAGGACAGTATTAAGTATAACACACAACACAATATCATGCCATGCCCTTAATTTCTTTTACCGGCCCCGTCCACACCTCCGGCTCCTTGGCCCCGCAGCACTACCCAGGACCCGTGGACGGCCCCGTCCGCACCCGCACCCCTGTGGACGGGCCCCGTCCGCACCCAGGACCCCTGTGGACGGGCCCCGTCCACACCCAGACCCGTGGTCCTGGGTGGACGGGCCCGTCCACAGGGGAGGACCCCTGTGGACCCTGTGGACGGGCCCCGTCCGCACCCAGGACCCCTGTGGACGGGCCCCGTCCACACCCAGACCCGTGTGGACGGGCCCCGTCCGCACCCAGGACCCCTGTGGACGGGCCCCGTCCACAAGGACCCCTGTGGACGGGCCCGACGGGACCCAGACCCGTGTGAGGACGGGCCCCGTCCGCACCCAGGACCCCTGTGGACGGGCCCCGTCCACACCCAGACCCACCCAGACCCGTGCGGACGGGCCCCGTCCGCACCCAGAACCCCTGTGTACCACATCCCACACACCAATCGAGAGGTATATGCATTATATGCATGTATTATGCATTATATGTTCTGCAGCATATACTGACCCGTATGCCAATATCTCGTACATTCCAGCAACAAGAACATGCAAGTATAGTACAGTATCATGATGTATCATGTGTCATTATGTCACAACCATATCATCACATCTCCAATCAATGATGCTCTACTTGCTCCCGCCTGAAACCTATGACACTGCATGCACTCTTCCACACAGCAACATGCCATGATGACATGCATGGTATCAACCATGTCTGCAGTGCACGGCCGCATGCAGCATGCATCCAAGACACAGCCACCGTAGGATCCAAGGAGTCCAAGTCATCATCCACTGTTCCTGGGCGAGCAACCAAGCCAAAAACAACAAACCTGCAAGTAAGTACAATCCTATGACACTCGGGCAACCAAACCACAACACTTCTGAGCATGCATGTGTGCTGCATGGTCTCGCAAATCTCTGCAGTGCATGGGCACATGGCACATGACATGTCCAATGGCCGGAAGATAAGAAACAATGACTGAATCATGTCGCCAATGCACTGAGTCAACTGAGTCTACTATAAGCAAGCTCGGACTGCAGCATGCATCCCAGACACAGCCACTGATCCCAGTCCTCAACCACTGTTCCTGGGCGAGCAACCAAGCCCACACACACACAACACTCCAAATGCAAAAGTGCAATGCTTCGGCACTCGGGCAAGCAACCCAAGCAGGTCAACTCTTTTGATCACGTCAGTGTACACGTGTCACATGGCTGCCGTGGCTACTGCTGTCATGCCACTCAAGCCGCAGTGCAGAAATAACAACAAGGCTGTACTATAAGGGCACTGCCGGACGGCCATGCCCAAGATTCCGTCGATTAGTCCGCCTCCACAGCCTACCGCCTACCGCCTCTGCTTCTTGTACCGTCGTCGTCGATCACGGCTCTGGCTGCTGTCGTCGATGGACCTGGTCTCCCGCGATGTCGACGTCCTTCGGCGCCGACGACCACGACTACGGTCCCGGTCCCGGTGACCGCCACTCTGTCGGCGGCCACGGCCACGACTCTTGTGCCCACGGCTGTCACGACTGTCCCGGCTGTCGTGCGACGAGGTGCGAGCCTTCTTTCTGCTGCGGCCGCCGCCGCTCTTCTCCTTCTTCTTCTTCTTCTTGTTGGCCGGCTCTGGCACCGTCGCCGTCACTGGGGCCGTCGGGGCCGTCACTCCATGGGTGCTCTTGGACATATTTGACTCTTCCGACGCTTCCGCCGGTGACGTTGCCACATCCCATCCCCTTTCGGGCTTTCGGGCGTACCATACAGCACAATCTCACGGCATTCCACAGCCTGAACAGGAAGGGTGTTTTTTGTATAGTATTGTGACGTGTGTTTCCTGTTTCCATATATCTACCAACCCTCAAGCTTTAGCAACGTCTACGTAACGTCTACTGTCTACTCCTGACTGCTGAATCCATGGCACAAACAGTGCGATAGAAAGTGTGAGGCATGAAACGGCACGAGGCAGAGGTCTTAGTCTAGTGCAACCATTTTGGCCCTCCTGCCTGGCGGGGGTCCAAACGTCCCTGGAACATCCTGTCCTTGCCCACAGAGTAGGGTTGCCCACTTCGCTCAAAGTTGCTGGGAACAGGCTCGCTTGGCTCGACAGGCGGCGGCGGAGGAGGTGGCGGTGGTGGAGGTTCCACCTTGGCAGATAGATCGACCTTGGGCCGGGCTTTGGTGGGTGGAGAGTCAGGTGGCGGCCCTGGCGGCCCAGGCGGTGGCGGTGGCGGTGGAAGCGGATGCCCCCACCCAAGACCCGGCGGCAAAAGGAACATGTACGGGGCCGGGAAGCAGGGAGGGCCATGCTGCATCGTCGGTGGCGGAACCGGAGGAAACCGATGAAACCTTGCCTTGGCCCAGTGCGGAACTGCTGGCGGCTTTGGTGGATGCTTGGACGGCGGAGGTGGCGGAGGGTAGCTCGGCTGCTTGGGAGTAAGCTTGGCCTGAGCCTGAGCCTCAGCAGCCGCAAGCCCATCGGTGTCGGTCTCAGCAGCCTCAGCAGCCGCATCTTCCGCATCTTCATCTTCCTCAGGCTTCTCGTCCCGCTCGGCGACCGGAGTCTCGTTCGCCATGGTTCGTCGATTCGTGGCAGCTCCGTGTGTCAAGTCTGTCCAGTCGATGCAATCATGCAATCTGAGTCACCATGCCGCATGCCATGTCATGGTTCAATGACGTGTGACAACTTGTGACAACATGACATGACTGACGTGACATGGCTCTCAGAGCTTTGCCAGGCTTCGACAGCACGCATGCATCACTGACTGACATCCAAGCATGAGGTGATGCATGAGGCACTGGAAAGCACATCATGTCGCTGGGCTGGCAGCACTCACTCACACTCTCTCTCTCTCTCTCTCTCTCTCTCTCTCTCTCTCTCTCTCTCTCTCTCTCTCTCTCTCTCTCTCTCTCTCTCTCTCTCTCTCTCTCTCTCTCTCTCTCTCTCGGACTCAGGGAGTCTACCACTGTCTACCACACTCAACACTACATGCTAAAAGTCATGCAGCACTGAAGATTCACAGCGATGCAAAACATGAATGAAGGTACGTCGGTACGTCTGGCCCTCTGGATGCAGCCCGAGAATCGTTTCATCGATCTGCAGTGCTTGGGCTCGGGTTGTCGTGGCATGCGGCAGTGTCGGCATTGCCAGAGTCATTGTCCGTCCTGCATGGCAATCACACAACACAGTCTGGGTCACAACACAGCTTGGTTGATTGTATGGGTTTATGCAGACATGCAGCCGTCATGATCATGCAACTCATGCAACCATGCTGTCTATCGCCCAAAACAAAAGCCAGTGCAGTCAATGCAATCGGCCATGAGGACATGTTGCTACAGCACTGGCAGCATACAGCATGCACCTGCTAGCCTGTGCAGAGCCTGTGCAGCTACAGCAGCTACATCAAGATAAACACTGAAACCAAAGCCCAGCATCTGGCTCAGCAGCATCGAACATAGTGGGCATGGCCGATGTGTAAATTGAGCATTCCTTGTCCTGGTCACAGGCACACAACGGGTCAACATGGACACTAAGGGCCCTAGGGTTTAGGGGCCGGCTTTGGGTGTGACCGTAACCAGTACTGCACTGGTGCAATTTAACTGCAGTAGCAACCAAAGGCGTGCCTGCTTCTATCGTGAACTTCCGGATCATTGAGCAGCATGGATGTCACAAAATCCGGCAGTGTAGGCAACAATCGCACCAGAACTGCACTCATCTGAACAATGTCTGCAAAAGTCTCCCCTGTGCGGATATTGTCACGAAGTTCCTCCGTGATTCCATCTGCACATCGACTGTGCCAGAACAATAGACAGAATGAGCATTGCTTGGGAATCTCTGTGGGAGGGGCCATGCTTCCAGAACTCTTCTTACTCCCTGCAGCTCCCACCTGCCCGCACACAATGCACTTCTTTTGTTTCTTGGTCTTGGCCTCTTGCCAGGTGACCTCCATGCTGGCGTCCTGAATCACTGACTGAATGCTTGAATGGCTCGGCTCACCCGCCTATGCTAACTTCACAAATGCCTGCACCTGGTGCACATGACTCACATCTTTCATGGAGCGGTTCCGATGCATCTAGAAAAAGGACGGCTGCTCTCACTCATGCGACTCATGCCCATGCTCATGCAAATATGCAACCAATTCCAGTCAAGGATCCCGTTTCGTCCATGCACAGTGCAAACCCATGAAACGAGCAAATCTGATGACTTCGGGCGGCAGCTCATGTCGTAGCATACCGCATGTTCCCTTCTGTTTGCGGGATGAGGCTGCACAAGCATTGACCAGGCAATCAAAAACATCTGGAGGGAATGATTGTGAAGGTACCTGCTTGCCAAAAAGAACAGGCGGCGAATAAACGACTCTGAAATTCTTGTCGATTCGGACACTGCGGCCCGTCCTCGTCGCTGCATCCACCCATTTCACAAAAAAAAGTTGAAAGCCGTCACATTCTTCCCTGCTCTGCAATGAAAGAAGTAAAGATACCTCATCGTTATGACCCAAAGGTAGCTCGTTACGATCAGCACGATATGCCAAGGCTTCAGCTGTACGTCGAAATTCAGCATGCCACTTGGCCACGAATCTAGGCAATCTATCTTGTGCAGTGCCGCCGTTGGCTTCACCCTCGTCCGTGGAACCAAGCTCCCCAGAAGCAACAGACGATGCAGATGCAGCCGACGTGCAAACGTCCGAATCATCGAAAACAAAAGCTACTCTGCCTGGGGGATTCCCGCTTCGGCTGGCTTGGCTGGCTTGGCTATTGGCCTGTGGATTCCGAATCGACCCCGGGACAGCTTCGGACTCGGACTGTTCTGCCACGAATTTGCGAGCCAAGTCATCGATCACCTCATCATAAGAAGCACCTTGGTTGAATTGACGAATCAAGAGTAGGACTGCTTCCTCCTCCAATTCTTCATGTGTCAACACAACTGATTCACCGTGTGTTTCCCGCAAATGGTTGACCACCTGGTCAATGATTTTGTCGGACCTTGAGTGCTGTGCCAGTGGCTCGCAGTGTTGTTCACCGACAGAAGCAACCTGTGTTCTTTCGACAGTCCTCTCTTCATCCTTTGAACAATCGGCTAAGGCAGCATCAGATCGGGCAACTGCATCCTCAGATTCGTTGCACAACAACTCGTACTCATCATCAACCGGCCCATCATTCTCATCATCCTCTATCTGATCCACATTCCCACGGCCTGTGCCACTCCTTTCTTCAGTCACTTCACCAGCCCGTGATGGTGTGCTTCCTTGACCAGCTTGACCAACACTTCCCTTCGCCTTCCCGATTTGAACCATCATGGACGGCTCACCTTCAAGCAGCGATTGTACAGTCTGCGAATCAGACATGGGCCGCAAAGAAGGGGCATCGGCATCGGCATCTGCCAATGCACTCAGCGACTCCGGAGCCCTGATGATTTCAAGGCTCCCAAGTCGTCCCTCGACTGTGCTTTGTTTCATGCGAGCTGGTGCATGGAAAAGACAAAGTTGACTTTTATCTTCTTTGCAAGCCTTGTAGTGGGTGGAGAGCACATCAGTCAATGACACAAATCGTAGACTGCCTCCAGGAAGCATGAAACCACCATCCTGAAGACATGCGACTCAAATCAATCATTGCTGGGCAATGCATGTGTGCAGCATGCAAACACTCCGAACACATGAAGATCACACGAGTGACAGACGTGACATGCCACATGGTGCATGCTGCCACATGCTGCTGCTGCCACATGCTGCCACATGCTGCTACACTGCTACACGCTGCCACATGCTGCCACATGCACTTCCCACACTGATTCCTGCACTCATGAGACTCATGAGTGCAAGCGACAGCGACATGCCATGACATGGAACTGATCCTAAATTGAACTCACTCAATCAATCAATCAACTGAGATGAGGTCAGGGCTCATGACCAACTCGACTAGCAAGTATCTGGTACGAAGTGCGGCCACATGAAGGTAAGCGGACGATGTATCCAGCCGACGGTACGATGCCAACGGAAGCTCTGACCATGACTCATCCTCACGATTGTTCAAAAGCGATCCACGAGAAGTGCCTTGCAGAACTATAACCGACAGCATCGTTTGCTGTGTCGCCAGGGAAAACTGCTTGCATGCGGTCTCACGAACCCGTTTCCACTTGAGTGCTTGAGCGGCAGCAAATTTTGAGGCATCCGTTGTCTTACTGTCTGGAATGGCTTTTGCCAAATCCACATTCTGAAGAGCTGGGTGGAGGTCTTTACATGCGATGCCCTTGGTGGCATGTGGGTCAAATCTTGTCTTGTCCTGCAGCACTAGTTTGTACCCATTACCACTCTGGTTGAGTTCCTGAAGCAAAGGACCAGCTGCTCGTCGAACGTCGCTCCACTTCTTCACAGCTCGGCCTTTGGACGTTTTGCCAGCCACCTGCGACATGGTTTTCTTGATAATGATTCTAGAGCTCATGCCCAACAAGTCCATGCGAGGGCACCGCTGACCCAGCATGCGAATCTGGCTGTTCACTGACTCGATCAGCTGTGTATCTCCGTGCCAAACGCTTGACAATGATTTCATCAGTGCAAACAGAAGACTTCCTTGTGGAGTCGCTTTCAGGTCGAAGTACGACTCTTTAGCAATGAACTCAAGCTCCGCACGGCAGATATGTTTGATCTTCAGGGTGTTCGCTTCCAAATCGGAATCTGCCGTGGAAAGAATCTCGGCTGCAATTCCTGATATAGCAAAGGAACGTCTGCACGTGGGTTTGTAAGGTTGTCAGACTGGTGTTTCAAACTCAACTCCAATCTGTCTAACACAACAGAGCAGCTTCTACGAGCACCACACCGCCGTCCAGGTGACTGGGAAATCAACCACATCAACTTGAGAGGAAACGTCGGTCGCAATAGTGAGCAACATAACATACACAAACAGTTCAGTTTCATTGTTCAAAACAATTTCATGATCATGCCTTGCAACGACTCTGCAACGACTGTCACACCAGAGTCACACCACACGCTGCACTACTACAGCACAACATGCAAGAGTGCTAGGCAAGGGCAAGACTCAAGATATGTTTGCATAACGAGCAGCTTTTGGCACTGAGATCGAACACGAAGCTCAAACCCACCGGCTCCCGCCAAAACCAACCTCAAGGCCAAGTCCTTGACTAAAGCCATGAGTTCATCTGAAAACTTCGCATCGGCTTCTTGCACTGCTGAGGCGAACCACTGGTCGAAAGAAGCAAGGAGCCCATCGAACTCTTTGCGAATCGCTTCTGCTTTGCTCGTGACCAATCGAAGCAAGAGCTGGTCATCCGTGTATTTCTGCATCCAATGAAAAAAATGCCTGAGAGGCGCCCTTGTTTGGTTTGCTACCCGAAGGAGAACCCAGTAAAGATCGGACTGGATGGCAGCTAATGCACCTTTCGCCCATTTGGACATACGAATTTGATAGGATTGTTTCTCATCGTCGTCGTCCTGTAAGCACGTCACGTCGTCGTGACCGCCGTCATCAGCGACCTTGCCACTCTTGTCGGCTTTCATGGCCGAAGAAAGCATCGACATGAGAACTGGCTGCAAGTTTTTTTTCCCTCGCTGCAAGTAGAAATGCTCAGCTTGGTCGATCGAACCCCATCGTCCGCCCACTACCCGAAGCGGATAGCGACGATACTGAACACCGGACATTGTGGCACCTTCGTGTATGGCTTCATACTTCTTGATGAACTCATCCACCCTTTCTCTCCAATAATGTGCTATCTTGGCATTCGATGCAAAGTACTTGCTGAAGCCGACACCACCCCGACACCAGGATGCATCAAACGTGGGTTCTCGCAGTAACGAATGGAGAAAAGCATCGATATGCACTAAGCTCTCTTTGACAATGAGATGATACTGATGCATCAAGCAATTCCCGTCCAGGTACAAGACGTGTGGAACATCAGCTAGTGCACACCGCATGAGCTTCCGTCGCAAGGATTGATCGGGGCCGGCATCCGTCACGTCTGCATAGATAAAGAAACTGTTTTCTGCAGAAACCAGACCCTCCATCGTGCAACGAACGATGTCATGCGGAAACGGTATTCCCAGTGATTTCAGATGCCTGACTGTTAAAGCCAATGCTTCACGTGCTGTGCATGGGCTCGGCACAACTTGCAGATCACTCCTTAGCAGACTGCCAGCCAATCAACTGCTAGGCAGCAAACTTGGCAAACAACTGACTCTCGGAATCACTTGTGTCACAACTTGCACACCACTTGGAACTTTCTGGCATGAAAGGATGGGCAGACAGCGGACAGTTCACTTCAATTTCAAGTCATCAAGTCAAGCCAATGTGCATTCATGAGGTCATGCGACTCATGGACTCATGCACTCACACACTCATGACTCATGACTCATGCCCAAGAACACAGTCTAACAAACAACAGTACAATAAAACGTATGAAGCAGATGATGATGCTAATGCCGCATAGGAGTCATGCATTGCCGCTGGGTTGATGCTTCATCGAAATTGCCTTGTTGCAGCATGTCGAAATCATGTACCCAGACAACTTTGCAAAAGGCCACTGATAATTTCTTTCTTCGCCATATATTCGAGTTTGTCGCATCTGACCTGAAACCACATGCCACCACTGACCACTGAGCCCGATCCCGGGTGCGAGCACCACTAGCACCACATTGCGAGGACAGACGTGCAAAGGCAGCAACTGCTTCATCGGCTTCGCTTCGGGCAAGAGGCTCTGGAATTCCGGCAGCTATAATATTACCTTCACTGCTGTCCTCTTCTGAAACATTGTCGCTCCCTGAAACACCACGACATGACACCACGAAGGCCAAAGCTTCTGCCATGAAAGAATGAAAAGTATGCAGCAAACCTGCAGCAGTCCGCACTTCTGAACGAAGTACCGTGCTCCCAGAGATATCGGACATGGCCGCCAGTCCAAAGTCACATGCTGCAACATTTGTCATGCACTTTCTCAGAGCAACTGCAAACCAAGACGAACGACTGTAACGAGATGCTTTGCCCTCTTTTTGTTTGCCAAGCTTTTGGATTGCAAACTGCTCCTCATGCGAGTCTTTCAGCTTCTTGTTTTCCTTCTCCAACTGTAAGTTCTTGCGTTTCAAGCTTCTGATAAGTGCAGCCATCTTTTCCTGTTTCTTATCTTTGAAGGTCAGCTGCCTTCTTTGTTGGGAACACACACTCAACAGCTCCTGTGTCTGTTGTTGAGTCGAAGCGGATGCATTGGAATCTGAAGCGGCATCCTCATCAATAATTACACCGTCGTCGCGATCACCACCGTCGTCGTCGTCGTCCCTTGCCTTTCTCTTCGAATTGCCGCTGCCAAGAGAAGATGCAGATCTAAAACTGAAGCTGCTGAAGCTTCTGGAGTACGTGTTGGCAGCGAAACCCAAGTCACTTCCGGACCTGCCTCTGCCTCTGCCTTCGCTTCCTCTTTTACTGCGGCCACGTCCTGAAGATCTTGGTTGTTCACCGTCTGATTCTGAACTGTCCACTTGCATTACCAACGATCCATCTTGTTGCGGTTGTGACGACATGGAAGGTTCATTGGCCGCTGGAATTATATCGCCGACCCCACCACCGGAGTCTTGGGACCAAATAACAACTGCATTGTGAGCATTGCCGGTTTCAGCTTCAATCTTATCATCGTCTGGGTCATCGATTTCCATCTGCATCGGTGGCATTGTGAAGCTCAAGCTCAAGCGAGTGCAAGCCGACTGAAATTCAGAGATGTACATACGACCCATCATTGCATCAGTGCGGTTCGCCGTCGTGCATGCCTCACAGTCATTCAAAACTACTCAAAACCTTGTGCTTGTGCAACTGCAACTGTCAGGCTGTCGGATACAACATGCTCACATGACATGCCAACTCTTCGGAGATCTGCACATGCAAGATTACATGACAAAACAAGGCTGCTGCAGCCATGGTCACACATGCAATTGCAAGCAAGAAACATTCGAGCAAGCCACATTCACACGGCGACGGGCTTCCCGGTTCGTAACACCTTTACAACGAACCAGCACATCGATCAAAGCATTCTGAGCAGCGGCCACTGGTAACAGAATCTTTCCATCTATCACCAGCGATGCAGCATTCACAAAGGTCGTCAGCGAATTCGAAGCGAGCGACATTGCAAATCTTAGGAAATAAAACTTAGATATACAAGACAAAACCATGCCGTGTTCGTCACGTCATCGACCTGTCGATCGGAAGCCCCAAAAATGAATGGCATGTAACAGCTGCTTCTGTTGCAATGGCACTGAGAGCCTCATGGCATCCGGCTGCTGGGCTTGGTTGCATCAGCACAATCTTGCGGCTTTAGCAGATCATGTTTCATGCCCCCCCAGAATACATATGTTCACTTGCCAAGCACACAACATATGGTAGTTCGGATCCGCCATTAACATGAATTCAAGCTTCGCCCAAGCAATTCAACATGGAATGACACACCGGAAATCTTAAGTATACTTGCCGTTCGAGATCAATACACTCAAAACCACATGCCCGGAAATTATAAGCCACAAAATCCGGAACCCAATGTTTTATATGCATGCCTCCCGGGAAGTGCAAATGGTATACCCCGGCCCCCGTGGACGGATACAAAGCCGACCCCGTCCACACCCAAGGTGTAAAGTCATCTAGGCCATGACTTTGCAGTGAGTGATGTTTCAAAATATATATATATATATATATCCCCACATACATATATATATATATGTATATATATATATATATATATATATATATATATATATAGGAACTGCAGGGCCGAGGTATATACTATGTCATGAAGCCTTGGGCAAACCTCACAAGCAAGGATGCTTCCAACAGAGTTGCTTCCAAGATGGGCCCAAACCCTAAACCGTTAAAGACCGAGCTCAGGGTTCCATGCCGGTGGGAAAAAGAGCCCGGTGAAGGACGAGGGCCCTAATGATTAGACTCAGGCTTTGGGGCATATTGTAGAAACAAAAAGTTGTAACCACAGGATAGTGGCCCATGAACGGTGCAATTCGCCTTGTTGTGCTACTATGCGGCCAAATGCCATGGAACTACAAACTCGGCAAGTCGCTCAGGTAATGAACATCCCTCGGGGTTTCGGGTCTGAGGTTTCAGTCTGGGTTTTGGGGCAACTAACTAGCCCTGGACTCTGAACTGTGTGTAACACGTGGGCCGTCTTGGGTGTAGTAAAGTAATTATGCCTATATAGATACTATAAGGGGATGCTGTGACCAACTACTCAGACGTTTTCTTAGGTGCTGAGTACCCTGGCCCCCAAAAAAGTTAACCTTTTGAGCTATAGTTGGCTGTTGTAAGCCCCCAAAAGGTGAAAGGTCACCTAGAGTCATCTCGGGCCTTGTGATGTCGCCAATGTTTCATGTCCATTTGGTTTGCTCGGTCGTGCGCTGCGGTGAACTTTCCCACTTCGGGATGTGTCCTGGCACAGGGACGGTATAGGGTTTAGGGTCTATACGCCCTTCAGCCTAGACCTTAAACCCACAACCCTAAACCTCTAAGCCCCCGAAGCCTACAAATACCAACCTAAGAGACCTTGAACCGTAAACCCAAAACCCTAAATCCTAAACACTAAATCCTAAACCGAAACCTTATACTTGTTAAACTCTAAACCCTAAACTCCAAACCCTACTGTAAAAAAACTACTAGACCCAAGAGTAACCTAGGAATAAAAAAGGTACCCTTTTGGGTTCAAAGGGGCTTTTAAGGGAATCTCAACCCTCAAAATGGGAATAAGGGCCTACTCTAGGTCCTAGACTAAAACTTCGAATCGCCAAGCTGCCTTGCAGGAAGTGTCTCAAAGACTTGGAGGACCTCTGCGGCTTCCTGAGATGTTGTCAAGAACAACTTACCTCAATAGGGTACGGTTTTGGGTTTAGGGTTTAGAGTGTGCATACATACATACAAAAAATAGCAGTAATATGTAGAGATACAGATCTGTACAGTCACTTACTTTACTACCGTAGCTGAAGATAAACACCCTGTGAAAACCTACGCAAAGCGATTTAGATGCTCACACTGGGACCTTCAACAAACACTCTACCCTCCCTCCAAAGTTGAGATCATCAAGCACAGCCATGCTTCTTCCCAAAGCTTCGCAGTTTTCTTCATGTTCGATTTGCTTGCCTTGGAGACTGCTGGCATGTCTTCCAGCTTCTTGACAACCTCATGCCATCACAAGACCCGGGGAAGCCCGAGTAATGTAGGGGCCTTAATAATTAGAATAGGGTTTTGGGGCCCACTATACTACAACTATCATAAAGAACCCCCAAAATAGTATAGGTACTATATGGTTTTGGGGCCCATTATACTATAACTATCATAAAGAACCACCAAAAAAGTATAGGTAATTATTTGGGCCCCTATACTACCGCTTCTTTGCACGGGATCTGTACTGGCGGGTGGTGTAGGGAGTGTCAATTACAGCCCTGAAGACAAGCGGAGGTGGTCAACTTACGACCCAGACCCCAGGGAGGATCTAGAAAGTAGATCCCCTAATTTGGGGCCCAAAACTAGTAAGGGTACTTTATCGGTTTGGGGAAGTGGGTGCATGGTGAACTGTTGCGCCGACAGGTGCAGTTGCACAAACAGAAGGATATGTGCAGAGACGTAGCATCCAGTGCCATGGATTTCCTCTCTTCTTCAAGAACCGGGCCCACAAAAAATAAACTTTCCACCAACTATACAAGCCCAAAATGTTTAAAGTTCTCCCATTGGCTATCTAAGTTGCAATGTAGGGATGGCTTCACTCACGATCGTTGCATCGGCCGCTTCGTGGCTGCTCCCGCCAACAGCTTTGCATTTCTGCTCGTCGCCAAAGGGGGCGAGTGGACCGGGACTCTCACCTTTCGTAACTTTCGTGCAAAATGCCACTGGCCCACACTTGTCGGCGTCGGAGTTGTAGCATGGCATCCAGCAATGCCACGATTTGGCGATCTGGAGCGTTTAGTGGCTTGGTGCTGTGCCCTCGGACTTCCACATGAACTTCGGAAGGTGTCTGCTCCGATGCCATCTTTACTTCATCGATACTGATGGTGCTCTGGACTCCCTTGTGCAGGTAGTAGGGTTTCTCGGAGCCCTTCCGATAGACGGGGTAGCCGGCATTGCGGGGTGGAATCATGCTGCTGGTGGTGACGCCGATGATGGGGTTTATCTCTGTGCGGATCCAGAGGAGGTCGTCCTTGCCATCATGGGTTCAGGTTACTCAGCTGAATCTAGTTACCATAGGAAGGAAACCGTAGACGAAAACAACTATAGGTCACCATTGTGGTAACCATAGGAAGGAAACCATCAAAATCACTATAGATCACTATTGTGGTAACCATAGGAAGGAAGCCATCAGAACTACTATAGATCACTGTTGTGGTAACCATAGGAAGGAAACCACCAGAACTACTATAGATCCCTGTTGTGGTAACACGAACCCAGCCTTGCCATAATGGGAGGATCCCCACTTGCCTTTGAATGCTTGCCACCCCGAGATGCCCACGACCGCCATGGTCTTGAGTTCCTTGCGAGCAGGTGGCTGAGGGTAGGGGCTTAGGGTACAGGATTTAAGGTTTTGGGGGTTAGGGTTTAGGGGTTTAGGGTTTAAGGGATTAGGGTTTCAGGGATTAGGGTTTCGGGCAGCAACAGAATCACTCCGACAGGTAAGAAAACAGCAATCTCTTTGCAGTTCGGGCCTTCGTCATCACCACAGCGTCCGGCAGGATGCGGTACATCCTGTCCATGCCAGTGATCACCACGTACTTTTCCGGCTCTCCGACACCACCACTGGCAAAGCTGAAGGTGATGCTGGCGTTGGTCCACGTCAGGTCACCCCTCGGATGGCCAAGTCAGAGCAAACTTAACTTCCACAACCCCTAAACCCTCAAACCTAAACAAACCCGAAACCCTGCAGCAATGGCAGTCAAATCAAGGACTCCAATGTGCCCCGGAACTCGATCGGAAGTGAAAGATTTCGCCAAGGGCCCCTGAACCCTGCACTTAAAATGGGCTCCCATGTGCCCAAACAGTACTTACTTTGGCCTTCGGAGTAGTTGCTATATCGTTTCTCTCAGGGCCAAAAGTAAATACAGTGTTTGGGCACATGGAGCCTTAGGGTAAATGATGAGTACCTACAGGCCACAGAGCATACCGTGTATGTGAATTCACACTCACGCTATATAGGGTGAAGGTTGCTTGGAGGATCATGGGACGTAGCAAGTAAGGATATAAGCAACTTAATTGCGGTTACGTGGACAAGGAAGAAAACAAGTAATACGAATTCCTGTAATAAAAATAGAATAGTTTCCGGATGATAGGATTTCAACACAGGAAACATGAATGAACCAAAATCAAGAGTTGAACGTAAGGCAATTAAAAATTATTACAACTGTAGTTACCTTACTTCTACAGGAAGGCCGCGAACCGAACCGCAAACCGGAACCGAAACGCCAGGAACCGTCCACCCCTGTGAACCGCAAAACCGCGAACCGCTGAACCGACACACAAAATCGAACCGCGCAAACCGAACCGCATTTCACTCCCGTTCCATCCCTCCCTCCATCCAGTCACTTCCCTCCATCCAACCGCCCTGTCACTCAACCCTCCCCTCATCCAGTCAGCCCCTCCCAGGCCCCCTCCATTCACCGCCCCCTTCCTTCCACCTTCCAGCCCCTCCATCCATCCAGCCCTTCTTGCCCCTTCAACCACTCTCCATCCAACCTCTCTTCATCCAGCCACCCCCTTCCAGCCAAGCACCCGCCAGCAAGCCTCCGCCGTCCAGATCGCCATGTCCCATCCAGGCACTTGCACCCGAAACAGCATGAAATATTTGCATTTCGAAAACGGCATCGCTGTGGCCGAGTCTGATGATGAAGGGTTGGATGGAGGGGGGCTGGACGGGAGTCGATGGAAGGGGTCGGGGGTGGTTGGGTTGGCTAGTGGAGGCTGGTGGCTGGGGACCGAATTTGAGCCAAAATGTTAGGGTTAGGGCCTTGATTCCCTTTCCACGTTGCTCGAATGGCTTCCGGAATGGGGGTGGGGTTGTGGTTTAGGGCTTAGGGTGTTGCAGTGAGTCGGGCTGGGGCTGGTGCTGGATGGATGGAGAGGGGTGAAGAGCTGGAGAGCTGGTGGTGGATGGGGTTGGGGATTCATCGTGGCTGAAGGGATAGAGGAGCTGGATGGAGGGGAGGCTCAAGAAGGCTGGATGGAGGGGGGTTGGCTGGATGGAGGGCAAGGAGGGCTGGATGGAGGGCTGGTGGCTGGAGGGTCGGATGGACGGGGGTTGGTTGGATGGAGGGAAGCTTCAAGGCTGGTTGGGTCATAGAAGGCTGGATGGAGGGGTGCGGATGGATGGAGGGCGTCTGGATGGAGGGGGCTCAATGGATGGAGGGACAGGTTAACCAAACCGGAACCGAACCGCAAGAAGAACCGCAGCGAACAGCGCCAACCGAAACGAAACGCGGCTTTACTGCTTATAACCCAGTTAATAAGTCGCGTGATCCTTTTAAGTGTGGCCACGGCTCAGAAGCGGATTCTCTTTCCTTTTTGCCCACATCGTTTGCAACGAGAACGATCCACCCTCGTTGAGGTCGGCCAAATGCTCATGAAACCTTGGGTTGTAACTCTTAATATAGGGGCCTTCGTACTTAGAATAGGTTTTGGAGACCACTATACGGTAACTATAATTAGGAACTCCCAAAAAATAGTATAGGCAATAATTCAGGCCCCTATAGTATACGGCTTAGGCGTTCAGGGTTTAGGGTGTGGATGGTAACCCTTCTACAAAGAACCCTGATGAAAACCGCGAGCTGGGTGATTGGTCTCGTCCGAAACGAAACCTGACCTTCAATTGGCTTCAGTTTAGGGTTTAGGGCTCATTCGGGACCCGGTCATGCAACTTGCTGCTCTGCTCCATCGTGTTGGCGGACAAAGAGACCATCTGAGCCGCATTGAACCCATCTCTCGCTGCCGAAACATCCCGAATGGCCAGCATGAAAATGAAGCCCTTGGAGGCCAAGAAGACTTCAGGTTCACCTACAGTAGAAGCCAGAAAGTTGGATTATCATTATCGTAACCCCTTTAAGGTAAATTATAAGGGATCCTACCATTAATCCATATTCCAACTTTCTGGAGTTCCCTCTATATCAAAGGGGAAAAGGAGGGACCCTTAATGGGGGCCCCTACCCTATAATGGGCTATATAAGGGGTATATAATGGCTATACTATGGGTATATACCTAGGGATCCTCATTAAGGGTCCCTCCTTTTACCCTTGGACTATAGTCTCCATTGTAGTTCCTCTTTTTCCTTAACCGACTTCATGTCTAGTCTACGGTAACCCGAAAAAGGAACGACAATGGGGACTCTAGGTGAGGTCTCAAGCTTGCTTAGCCTAAGGCTCCATGCACCCATATAGTATATACTCAGGCCTTGACAATACATTCATGGCCAAAGGATATGCTATTCGGATACATGGACCATTAGGATTATGCTGCCCAAGAAGCCAAAGCGAGGTTTTGACGCGCTGAACGACGCATCATCGCAACCGGTGTGAAGTTGGCACTCAACAGATTAAAACGCAGTGCTTTGTTAGCTTTGAGCCTGTTAGCGCGCAATGCAAGCATGCGCTGGCCACTGGCTGCCTGTAAACCAATAGCCCCAAAACCCTAAAACTACACTTTGTGGTAGGACCGCCACAAGTTGATGATCATGCACACGCGGTGAATGTAATCTGGGGGTCGGAATAAAGTACCAACAGTACCCCCTTGTCCTTACTGTCGCCAACACACTGATAACTACAGTATGCCGAAAGGCTCCATAGTAGTTCCTGATTGCGATTACCCTAAAGGACCATAGGATCCTAAATATGAATGCCGAAAAGGAACTACTATGGAGCCTATGGGTAATAAAACTCAAAACCTTATTCTGGTTATGAAGGCCTTGCATCCTAGCAGTCATCCCTACAGCAACCCTCGCAAAAACCCGCAACGGAACTTCGCTAACGCTACTCTACTTAAAGGGATCATGGGACTTAGTATAGTAAATTTCGGGTTATATAAGTAAGATAGCTATACATTATAATTACTTTTAACTTCCAATTACGGTACTTATAAACCCTACTTGCTAAGTCCCATGACCCTCCAAGTAATCATGAAGGCCCCGGTAGCATGCAGTAGCATGTAGTGGGTGTCCACGAGTTCGACCCAAAGCCCTCCAATGCTGATCTCCACACCATGAACCCTCAACGAGCCCTGTAAACCGTAAACCGTGAGACCTAAATCCTAAGGCTTTCACTTGCATTTGGGCTATGTATCTAATCGAACTACGCTGGAAGCCCCACACCCTTAGCTTTGTAAACACCGAAAGCCCTGTGACTCGGACAGAGACGTGTGAGAGCGGGATGCTCTGGTTCCGTATTTGTACCTCTGGATCCCATAACCTACTGCTCACCGGAGGTTGCCTAACCAACAGTTGCGGATCCATAACCTGATTAGTTGGGCCCATCTGCACCACAAGAAGCCCTGCTTGTCTAGCTGGGACGGAGATTGAAGCATTAATGTTTCGGGGATTAGTTAAAAAGGACGTTTAGACCCCGGACCAAGGCAGATTATTGGTTTTAGGGGCCTTAGAAATTAGAATAGGGTTTTGGGGTAATTATACTACAACTAACTATGATAAGGATGCCCCAAAATAGCACTGGTAATTATTGAAGCCCCTATAGTACTCTGCTGCCAAGCAGACAGACCGACCACCATGGTTTTGTCGAAGCAAACTCTCCGCCGTCTTGTCTGAAGCTCCCCAAGCCCTGAAACTCCAGGCACTATAATCACTACTGAAAGGATCATGGGACTTAGTAATTGGGGCTACAAGCAAGGTAACTACACTACACTTATCAGCACTTATAACCTCAATCAAGGTACTTATAACTCTACTTATACTAAGTCCCATGATCCTCCAAGTAATCAACAAGCCTCAGCCTCCAATGCATGGCGGCCCCCTGCGCCCGACACTTTGAGCCCAAAACTGACCGGAGACATGCCCCGGTAGCCGATGTAGTTTTTCGGGACGGGTTTGGGGTATGCTTACGCGTCCTTGTGGGGCCAAGTACCTGATAATCATATACTCTCCCAACTGCCAATCTACATTGCTGCCATCTTAAACCCGAGCACCCGGGAAGAACCCACAGATTGGTGGAGACTGTTTGCAGGAAAGGTGGCTTCAACGAGACTCTTGAATGAACAGTTGTAGACCTTCAGGACTCCGCAACGGACGAACTGCTTGCACATCACGACCATACCGGCAGACCCGACCCCACGGAATCATCCACAAGGAGCCTACAGCTACAGTGTAACTTGTGTTTGGACCCAGGACTCTACCCAAATGGGAGTTTCCGGAAATAGGGGTGCCTTATTTTGGGGACCTTATAACAAGGATCCTACTATTTGGTGTGCTATATGAAGGCCCCCTAGTTTCGGAAACTCACAAATGGAATTTCTGCTAGGTTGATGCAAAAACGTGGGAATGCCAGCCGAGGACTTGATCTTTTGATCATAGGTTTCGGGTTTGGGTTGAGGGTTTCGGGTTGTTAGTACAGGGGCATTGAAAACCCTCAGGAATACTATTGATAACTATTTCGGCCGCTAATTGGGGGCATAGTGTCTCGGCCTGAAACTCCAGTTTTCCCGCTTGGGCATGCCAGGAACTCGAGAGCGCAGCATGGGAGCTTTGGGTTCTGGAATCGGATGGTGAATGCGAATACGATTCTACCGCCCTCAGCGCCTTCTCACTAGGACTTGAGGTTCGAGCACAACCCCGAGCCCACATCCTAACCCTACAACCTCAATCCTGAAGCCTATAAACCGACACCCGACACCTAAACCGGCGTTGCCGACTGTTGCTTGCGGGGACTCAAGCCTATCATTCTTTGGCGATTGTGGTTGATAAGGCCTTACCGACTAGAATACGTGCGTATAGGATTTGTTGAAAGGGTCGTCTCCGTCTAAATAGGGTTTGATGGCGGGGCCTGACTCTCACAAGAAAAGAGTGTGGTAAATTGTAAGGACCAGATGGGCACTGTAAGGGGATACCCTCACGACCTCTAGGGCTCAAATGGGATGCACGGGTTTAGGTCAAGGGTTGTGTCGTTTGTGTCGGATACGCTTTTGGTCAGGGTCTCAGCCACTTTACTTGCAGGCCCTCAGGACAAACTCCCACGCACGGCTCAAGCCCGGCGCCGAAAACTTGGGAAAGCACCCTTACGGGGCCTGAACGCTAAACCTAGGGCCTATGGCTCAACATAGCGCAACAGCCTTCTGTAGTATGGGCTTTTTATGTATTATGAGTCGTCCATGAAACACCCTTTTACATTGAGTTCCCCTAACACGTACCCCGTCTGCCTCACCCTAATCCCGAAGCATCCCAACTGTAGCCCAGAAAAGCTCACGACCAGCGTTCTTGATTATCATTCCTCATTTAGGATTCAGGGGAGGTAGGTTTTTGGCTACAAGTGCACCCTAAACCCTGAAGTCAGTCTTCCTCAGTCTTGCCACTTTGTAGCCGCCCCCACTGGGTCAAACTGTGCTCTTGCGAACCTCGGAAGTGGGGGTTTGCTCTGGTGTTCTGCGATTTGATGAGCGTAGCTACAAGGGTTGAGAAATCCTAATTTCAGTTTCTGTGACTAGTTCCGGAACGCATATGACGTCCTATATGTCCTATATAACCCTTGCTTTGGTGGCGTTTAGATGAGGCTTTATAGGAGTTCGATTTACGTTCCCGAAAAAAACGCAGGCATCCTATG